ATAAAATTTTGAATGTGAGTCAACAAATGAGATGGCATGTCTCGAAAGGCTTAATATCATTTACCTTTCTTTTGCTTGTTTGTTTTTGTAAATGAGTCTTATTCTGCACACATCATGCATTACAAAAGATGAAACATTAATAATTTAAATCTTCCAATAAAATTTTACCAACGTCAAAATGTTAAAAATATCAATGAAACTATTCTAACAGGACCAACGTTTTGTGGTTAAACTGGATACAGCTAAAAATGTTCTAAAAACACTGGTTATATTGCAACTAGTTTGCATACATTCAAGTTCTTCAGTCAGTACAATACTTGCAAAAAATATTTATTTGGTTTACCTGTAGCAATTTAAAAATGAGTACACCCAAATCACACATACTACTTATGGATATTTCATTCCTTTATTTTATATAAACCTATTTTATGCATTTTTAGGTGGCAAGTAGACATGTTTCAAAATGCTGAAGTTTATAATCAGATAATAAATAACTTGTTTATCTGGTTTCAAGTGACCAGGCTGAAATAAAACCTTATCAACACAAGCCAAGTCAATTATTTTAGATCAACCACAGTACTGAAGGAAAATAAAAATAAATTTACAATTGTTCTTCAATGTCATGTAATGAAGTGCAGAAACAAAAAAGTGAAAACTTACCTGACATGAAAACGTTTATAATGAAAAAAAGATACATTTCCAATGAGGTTTCTAATAAAACTATTATTAAAACAAAAAGATTACTTCAAAAATTAGAGTTGATACTCACAGAAATGACATGTACAGTGACAACACCATCTGACTGCAGCATATACAAAGAAGAAAATTTACAATCTTAAAACTAATCAACATTATAATAGGTATTTATAGAACAATTCTCATATTCAGATTTTAGCTTGTTCAAGTTTTAAATCAATGCATACATATACTGTATCAGATGCACAAGAAGATTGTGTGCACCCATCAAAATCATTTCAGCCCATTTTTTTCATGTACTTTGGCCATTTCCTTAACTTATAAATTAAAGACCACCTTTTATGAATGTTTGAAATAAATTGATTATGGAGCCCAAAGCAATTGTTAAAAATAAACAAACTGCAAAACATTTATTTTGGCAATATGTTAGAGTTATCATGAATAATTCAGTATGTCTCCTGTGAAACACACACACATTGCACATTGTCAAACGTATCCTATCTTATATATTTTATAATACTTATTTGACCCTAACAAAAAAATTCCTACAAAAGGTAAAAAACATGAAAAAAATTTAAAATCTTACCTTTAACCCATTATATGGGCAGCACAAACATCCAGCTAACAGCAGCAGCAAACACACTAAGAGAGCACCTGTTACCACACCTGGTAACAGTGCTGTCACATCAAACTGACTTGACTGGAGCCCTGGGGACAATAATATATATAGTTTTGATATCATGTTTACTCATTTGTGATCTTAACATTTCTTGTACAGTACAAAAATGTGTCAGATCTTCTTTCATAATTTTTACCTTTTGAGTTATTAAATCTAATAATTTTGTAACTTGAATCTATGTGTTGTGACATTTTATTTTTAAAAATGTATATGCCAAAACAATGATGTTTATTCATCACTAAGTCCGCCACACAGCTTGTTAAATTGGCAAAATTTTCCATGTTGCCTCAATAACACAATATTGGCCTCACAATACTTGTAATGGTATTTTATTTAAATTGCTTGACGCAAGAAGCTTCTAGTTTCACAGTACTCACACACTGTAATAAAGCATTTTTATGATGCATAAATGGGGAAGAACCAATATATTGTAGTCTTCTGGTTTTTGGAATTTTAGTGTTGTATATATATATATATATATATATTAAATTAGCTGATGTACTCATTTAATGCCAGGGAAGACATATGGGGTCCAGAACCCACTTGAATGTCTTTCAGTATAAATTTTTCTTCTTCGTTTTGTTTCTTTGAGCTTCTATTGACTGTCAGTTGTTGTTTTTTTTTCAGCTTCAGTTATCCTACATATTTGCTTTCTTGATTTTGTCATGCCATACAACTACTTTCTCTTGCTAAGTGTTTTTTTCTTTTTTGCACTGTTTCTGAACTATTTTTAGCTTTATTTTTAACTTGAATGTTAACCAATATATCAAATCCTGATTTAACCTATATTTATAACTGTATTGAAAGAACTTGCTGTAAATATAATCATTTATTTAAAATCCAATCTCAAAGGCTGGAATTATTTTGAAATTTTTCCTCATGAAAAAGGGAGTCCTATTGATGACAGTAGCTAATATTAACTTCTTATCAAAGAAAGCTGTGTATATAGATCAGAACTAAATATCAACTCAGTAATGAATATACAGTAGCTAATTTAATATACTGTTCTTATTTATAATTATTAGAATGCATTGTTTCATCATTTGGTACTCTGGCTCTTAGAAATATTTTCAGCCATAATCCCAATATTATCTCACAAGTTTAAGCAAGCTTAGGAGATTTAAGTTAGTCCTAACTAAGCTAACAATTAAAATATATAATAACAGAAAATAATTAAAATAGACATACTAAATATTTTAAGAAATACTGTTGAAAATAATAACAACAAAGAAAGAATAGCAGATAACTTAGACAACATAATCATAAGTGGTTTGCTTCATGCAGTATCTAGATTTCATGTTCCTTGAAGAATTTGACCCCAGTATATGCAAAACGCAAATCAATCATCCTTAACAACATCTTATTACTAATGAAAGCCTATTAACCTTATGTGCAAAGGTGGAGTCAAAGTATGCAAGCCACAACCTTTTACAGAGTGCCATTCAACAGGGTATTATGTATTTGATGTCAGAGTTCAATTATTCATTTTACCCTATATTGTTTATGTAGCAATAGTTCATTGATGAGTAAATACCAGATAAAATATACAGGAATACTAAAAATACTGTAGGTATATATTTTGGAGGTTCTAAAGGTTATGCAAACTATACAATAGATAAAAATATCTTTATTTTTCACAAGAATATTACCATGCCTCCGACTTGTCAGAGGTTGAGTGATACTGATGTTGTCAATTCACAGACATATCTTGGGAAAAAATACCTTTGTAACTCATCTGAATTTTTATATACAACAGACGTATACATTTTACTACAAGCTTGCTACATTTCTATAGATACAAGTAGTAAATTTGAAATTATAGTTAATATTCCTTCTCTAATACGTGCTTGGTTCATTGGACCAATCACATGCACATTTGGTTAAACAGCTCCAACAGTGTAACTTCCAAACAGCTTGACATCTCAGATAGATTACCACAATGTATGTTACAAGAACAACAGAATCATACAATAAAATAGTAGCAAGATAACTGTTGAATTTAAAACAAAACTGAATAAATCTGGTGATCAAAATTCAGTAAGAAAATCTTCATTTATGAAAAAGGAGAGCAAATTTTTGGACTTGGAAACAGATAGATGATATCCAAATCCTGGTAATGTGCGCTGTTTTTTAGTAAAATATTTTTTTCAGTGAGTTCTGGTAGACAAATGTGTTTGGCATTGTCAAGAAAACTTGGACAGTTGAGGAAAAGAATATCATCAACACGTCTACAAGCATGATTAATGTTTAAAGGTTTATTAGTGTCTTTCTTACTAAGACTTCTTCAAGTTTGATTAAATATAACTTTTGAATATGTGGGCTGAAATTACCTCCCATAGGTATTCCATGAATTTGTTGAAAGACACGTTGTCTGAATTCCACAAAAGCTTTGTCAAGTGAAAAATATAGTTTGTAAGCATTAATGTACTATGAAACAATGATAATTTTTAGGAGTAACATTGTTTTAGACACATTTGTGTACACTAAATCAATATATAAAACATGTATATGGCAAATACTGAGTAAAGGAAGTTAACAATGATAACATGCAAAGCAGTTTAATGTTAATGTTAGAGCATTCAGATAAATACAGGAAACTTTTAAAAATATTCTTCTTCACCTCAAGAAATATCACAAGTAAGCAAAGGCAGAAAAGCAACTAAGTCAAATGATTCGATTCCAGATTTGTTTGAAAAACAAAATCCATATCAGCAATACTTAAATGAAACAAAAAACATGAAAGAGCTACTGCCAGTTTTAGATGTGAAGATCAAATCCCTATTCACAAAAAAACAAAAGGATTTAGATTGTTTATTTCAATGCTAAATCAGCATTATCCATTTCCAATTCATAAGTTCTTCACAGTAAAAATATAATCCCATCTCTGCACAATGGAAGAAACCTTGATATCAAAATTGTTAATCATCCTGATGATCTGGCACCTGTGATTTGTTGAGGCCTGCTTTATGGTATGTTTACAAGTTAACAATGTTCACAAGGTAGAAAATATTTTAGAAGGAGACTTTGAAAAGTTGAGTGGTAACGCATCAATCTATAACAAAGCTTTTAATGAGCTTGTCAAATGATTGTGCTTCAACTCTCAGTGGATTCCCACACTTTGGGCATAAACCAGACCTTGCAGAAGGAAAGGTGATAAAAATATCAGTTGAAGGTTGAAATCAGACCTCTATTAAATTGCATTTTTTATAGAATGTTTGATAATACTGTTGCGTCAGCGAGTCACGTGACTACTGTGACGCAACATTTCTAGAACTATCATGTACTTTGGCGAATGCTCTAGTAATTACTAGATATAGGGTAGGCTGGTATATAAAAGAGGGGAATGTAATGTGTGGATAGATAGTGAGTAATTGAACTGCAGTCAGAGAGCACGAGAGACGTTACAGCGTTTGTTTAGCGCGATTGTTGAAGTTGAGTGTATCGGTAAAGTTATATTTGGAAAGAATAAACTAGTTTTATTAAGAAAGGAGTTGTGTTGCTTAAGTTTCGTCGGAACGAAGTTACAGAAAGTTAATTAACAAACGGAGACGTAACAATACTTTGTATAAAATTTAGTGACTACATCAAATAGATACTTTTTTTATTACTAAACACATCTGTTTTTACCATTGGGCCATGCTGGCTTACTTTCATCAAGGGGGGGGGGGGATTTTCTATATATATTGAATGGTGAAAATTCCCAACTTCTGGGCTCAATTTCTCCATAAAAACACCATATGGGGAAAAGATGTTTTCAGATTCAGGGTGTAAAAATGCAATGGAGAAATATTATTTGGGGCATTTTTGGGTGTGAAAATTGTCACAGTATCTGTGTAAGTGAAATCAGTGGAAGGCTTTACATAGAACTTGAACAAGGTTATTTCTTAAAACCAGAAATTCATCAGCAAGGTATGTAAAGTTCTCTTATCAGTAACTCATTTTTTATTTTAACAATAATTTTTGTTTTTTGGCTTTCAATGAACAAAACTTATGTATTAAACAATCTCTTGCAATCAACACATTATGTCTGGCTATAAATGTGAAAGAGTACTCCTCTAATATTTTACTAAGATGTTAAATGAAATCATTAACCTAAAGTTTGGAGTTGATCATACAGGAATTAGTGACTGTCTTGGTTATCATAAAATTTGACAAATGATAGTTACTAAAGCTGTGCAATAATATAGTACTCAAGCTTTCAAACAATATAACTTTTGTACACATTGGTTCACCTGTTGCAGAGAAATCTTCACTGAAAAATGAGTTCTTCTCCCCATTTGTATCAAGATTTTGATGAAAGTCCATTGCTTTTTGTACAGTAATATACTTACAGAGGCATGTTTTTAGAGCTAAACTAGCCAATGTATAATGAATGTCAGAAAGTCATGTTGACCCAAGTCTCAGTCAGAGGTGTGCTGGCCAGCCTGTGAGTCTGTGCCATCACAGGGACCTCACAAAATGTTGAAGCATCCCAAATTTCAGCGCATTTGCAACCCATGGCTGCATTAAGAGCATGGGAAGGCATAAACTATAATCAAGCAATCATTAAGTTAAAAAAAAACAACTAATGATCAGAATTATTCACCAGAAAATATTCTGATTATTAGTTGGTTGCTTTTTATATAATAAAAAATTCCTATTATATGTATATGAATAAATTTTTTCTTATTATAGGTTGGACTTGGACACATGAAATGAAGCATTTGTTTTAAAGCGGTGCATTCAAATGATCCAGGAAGAAAAAAGAACAAGAATATATAAACTCGCAGCATGATGTGCTCAATGCCTTTATCATCAAGACTCAAAGACAACCAGAGTGTGATTGAATGCTAACAGAAGATAGCAGGATACAAGAGACTGAAGGTCAACAGCCGAAGAATTCTGACTACTACATAATCCAGGACCCAACGATAAGTGGTTCCTTCTCTGTGGAAACACACGAAAATGTTCCACCTGATTCCGAAAAATATGTTTCCACCAATGCCAGGGTTGCTAGCAATGTTGAAGGTGAAACTCGGCTATATTTTTTTTACAAAATCAAAACCACAAAACACTGCAGCATTTTGAGATTTCATCCCATGCAACTTCACTCAAACATTCCATTCTCACATTCCAATTATTACCAAAAGGATCCTGCAGTAAAGCCAGTAACAAACCAAAAATCAACTGCAGTGCAAAAATGGTTGACATTCAATGAAATGGAGCAAACTTTACAATCAAGGTGAAAATGAAATGGCACTGAGCAAAATTAGCCTTGCTTTGAAAAGACTTTTCATCAATACCAAACAAAATTTTGGAAGTTTAATTACGTTTTTCAAAGTAAAAGGTCAAACCATAAACATATGCAAAATAATATACAAGAAATTGGTCTAGCGATTTTCTTTTGTTTGAAGTTGCCACAAAAACAAGACAATTTCTGTACAATTAACAACAAACCAATGATCAATAACCTGCTTCATAATGATGCATAGTATAAGAAGACTTTTAAAATAGTCAATATATTAAAAAAGAAAGTAAAAAACAAGTTTAAAAGATAAATATGCCTTACATTTGGGTTCCATAAATAATCTTGATAGTGAAAATTCACATATATCATTTGTTCTGATTCTAAAAGTTACTGATATATTTTAATAAGTATTAGCTTAATAATATATAATATGAACAATATCAAAATCACTTATGGATGTGAAAGATTCAAAATAATAATATATTTTGGTTGTTAGCTGATTTACAAATAATACATGATTTTCAACATTAATGTAATACACATGACAAATTATGTAGGGCAGCTTAATATGACTCAACCAATACTATATACCACAATTTTATACTTACCCCCAGAAACGCTTACATTATCCATATTTAACCTTTTAAATTTATTCCCCTTTCCCCTTTTGGGTACCAGTTTAAAATTTAACAGAAGTGGAAATATCTATTCTAAATGAAAACTGTACCAAGGATCTCAAGCTCACACTATTGTCTAAAACCTGATGTTTTACTGACCTACATATACCAAGGTTTCAATTTGATTACGAAAAATAAAAATGTGTAATTGTACCAGGATTAATAAGTGAACAAACAGGTACTTGCACAAATCAAACATTTAAGAAAGGAGCCAATATTCTAAAAACCTGCAAAGCATATTTTAGCATGTAATTTTGAGTCTTTGTTATACTTTAACATTAACCACTTTTTAACAAAATATTCACACACACACACAAAGAGATAAAACATAATTGTGCAGTTTAAAATACATTTGAAAGTTACATAATCTTGAAAATAAGTTAACTATTCACTTTTATATGACACCCATACGTAAAATTGTTATTACACTTGATGTATTATCAATCAAATACATGGCTATATTATAAACATTAATATTTTTGCTATTAATAAATTAGTCTTATTACTATCTTATACTATTATGAAACTTCAATTTACTTAAGAATAAACTAATAAGTTTTTATTAATAATTACCTTCTCTAATTGGAACTGCATCTATAAATGAAATAATCACACTGTGTAGAAAAACCAAAAGAAACAAACACTGATAAAGCATCTTCTATGGCTTCTCAGTCTCCTCTTGAAAGTTTCAAATATCAAATGGAAAAGCAAATTTTCTTTGTATAAAAATTATACATCCATCTCATCTAAATGAAAAGAATGTATATTAAATTTTAGAGCAAAGCAGAAAATTTAATATAAATACAGATGGATGAACATACCAAACATTAAAGGAGCATATTACAATAGCAATGATAAAATCATATGTCAAGGTACACCACAATTCAAGTGACACATGCATTGAGAATATCAATGTTAGAGAAGATATCTAACTGATATACTTGCTGACTTACATGTAGTCAATTGTAATGTTGTATTGTTATAATGCAAATACACAAGTGTTAAAAACATGAAGAATTTTATTATCCTTAATATATTTTGACATATAATTTATGCAAACATTATACAAATAGATAATAAAAATGTTTGTTTAAAACAATCTAACACCTAAATATCATTATTATACAATAATATTATACATTCACACTTCATCAATAGTTTATTATTACCTAATATTTAATGTTAACTACTAGGATGAAATCTGTATGACCCAAAAATTTAATTTTGTCCATACATTATACATGATTTTCATATTTTAACTACAATGTTCGAGCTTTTTATATTTTCATGCTTAATGATAGCTTTGAATACAAGAATATACTTGAAGCAAATTATGACATTAGGGTAGTTGGATGGGAAAGAACAAGAGGCGGTCATTTATGGTGTTCATTCAAAATGGATCCTTGACATTAGTGAGTACCTCAAGAGTTACTTGTTTGGGTCTTTCCTCTTTCTTATTTAATGATACTGATATGAACATAATTAAGAAATTAGAAAAATTTTATGGGTTACATTAAACTCTTGGGTGTTTCTAGTTGTATTGAGGGTTTTAATGTACTAAAGAATAGCGTAATTGGTAATACATTTGAGTTATGATAATTTGAATCACCTATTTAATATACACAGAAACCCACTCAATAGCATGCCTGAAAAAAAGGATCTTGGCATAGTGGTGGGTAAGTTGCTCAAGCCATCAAAGTAGTGCTCTATTGCTAGTAGTAAAGCCAACATAATCTTACTGTGTGTTCATAAAGGTATTGTTTACAAAACAAAAAGTTAATTAACTTTCTATGTAAATCACTAATTATGCCTCACTTAGAATACTGTGTACAGATTTGGCTTCCTTATCTAAGAAAATATATTCCCTTACTGGAAAGGGCTTAGAGGATGGCTACTAGGATGATTCCAGATATAAGTTAAGATCTTTTGTCTTATTTTCTCTTGAAAAAAGAAGAGCATGAGGTGATCTTATTAAAATTTACAAGATTATCTTGGTATTTGAGAGGATAAATGCCTCTAATTTCTTTATTCTAGGTTATGAAGATAATAGAACGAGAAGGTAAGAACAAGTGGATAAGAAACCTATGGCAGCCCATTTAATACCTCGTAAGATAAGGGTGAAAATGGTTGCTTGAATGTATAAGGTTATCATTACTATGCCTGGAAGCCTAGATACATAATCTTTATCAGATAAATCTATTTTCCTTTCAGGTGTTAAATTTGTAGTAAATCTAACAAGATTTTGGCATATATTAATAAACAGTTTACATAAAAATCATCAGTTAGGCCAAACTTTGACTACTGTGTACAGTCTTGGTTTCATAATTTATGAAAGAATAACTACAGGAAAGAGTCCAGAGGTTGATACCTGGGATGGAAAAGTTGTCATAGGAGGACAAGTTAAGATTTCGGAAATTTTATCTTGAAACAAAAGGAAGAGTTCAAGGAAATTTGATGGAGATGTTCAAGTTTATTAAGGAAACTGAGAGTATCACTGCATCATCTTTTTAAGTATCTAATGATGAGAATAGTAGAAAAACTAAATCATGTAAAGATAAGGGCCAATGAGCCCCTTGTTTTCCTTCAGTTTATATAATTATCTAAAGGATTGATAGAATAAAACCTGTTTTTTTATACTGTATTCTCAAAATAACAGAATAAAATACTACAAGTTTAAAATTAAGAAAAGGAAGGCTAGGCTCCAGTTAAGAACATTTTGTTTTTCTAACTGGATAATTAGTATATGGAATGAGCTACCATTAGTAGTAGTAGTAGTAGAGATTAAAGGTGAAAATCAATAATTTCTTGAAAAATAAAAAGTGGGTTCAAATTTTCTTTTTATCACATTTGGGTGTGTCGGGACAGTCTTGAAGAGCCAAACGTTTCCTTTTTGTCTATGTTTCAAATAAGCTTATGAAGAAAAAAGCCTAAGTTTCAAGTTTATGACATCTGTGGATGACTTTTTATAAGATAACTGTCCTTTTCATCATTGACTTTTGTTTTTATGATAACAAGATATAATCTCAGATTATAAGTGCTTCAGCATACCATACTTATTAATAACATGAAAAAAAAACAACATACTATGATGCTTACGGAGAAACAGTTAAAAGAGTAACTCAAACATTGTTAGAACTAAGTGTTACTTAACAAATAACACAAGATTTAAGGACAACAAAAGAACTGTTGGTCCACTTAGGTCATCCCAACCACTAAACATTAAAAACAAAAAATAAAGTCAAATTTAGCCCTTATCTTTCAAATATTTATCAAGCTTTCCCTTAAACTCCACTAAATTTACTTCATCCACCACATCTGAAGGAAAACCATTCCAAATGCCAAACACCATTAGAAAAATGATGAAGACAACTACTTAACTGCCAAAATTTGTATTTGTGTCCCTGCTGTACTGCCATTTTCACCATTACATTTGAAAAATTTGAAGAATTAACATTACAAATTTCCTAAAAATATCAACACCTCAATCAGATCCACTGTAACTCTTCTTTTTTCAGGAGAAAATAATTTCATAGATCTTAACCTATCCTTGTATAACAACCTTTCCATCCCAGGTATCATCTTAGTAGTCCTCCTCTGAACCCTTTATTTTAAAACAATTCAATATCCTTCCTAAAGTAAGGAGCTCAAGACTGAAGACAGTATTCTAAGTGGGGCCTAACCAGTGACCTATACAATAAAATTATAGCCTCTTTATACTTATATTCAATATTTACATAGATACAACCTAAAATCCTATCTGCCCTAGCAGTAGCAACATCACAATTGTTGAATAGTTTAAGACGTTGATCTGCCAGAACACCAAGATATTTTTCTTCAGCAACACCATTTGGGTTATTCCCATTAAAATTATACTTAAATTATAACTCACATGCACTACCATACACTTATTATTGCTATACACCATTTGCCATTTATTCACCCAAAAAATAATCTAAATCATTTATGCAGCATCCTCACAAATACAATCAGCAACACCAAAAACCTTATATATCATCAACAAATTTAAGAAATTTATTGACCATTCCTTTATAAATGTTACTGATGTAAATCAACACTGTGTATACTGTATTATGTATGTTAATGAAAATTCAGTTTGGCTGAAGCCTATAACAGCAAAGCAAAACTTACATAGTGAAGAAATTTTAATTTTTGATTAAAAGTTAAGACTTAAGAAGTTTTGGTTCATAATAAAATGACTTATAACTAGTTCTACTACCATATGACATGAAAATTTCCTGATAACGTTTAATACAAACGTTGAAAAACAATCACTCACTAAATTTGCACTATATTACTATTACTATTATTACTAGTACTAGTAACAGATCTAGTTGAAAAACAACTCTTAAAAAATGTAACTAAGCCTACCTGTAATATCAATAATTAGTATTAGAATTAAAAAGTAGAACTAGAAGTACTGACTTTATGTTGTTTCTTACTGCGGTAAATTATTTTCAAGTTATAATGTTAGTGTGGCCTATAGCTTATCTACCTACGTGTGATATTAAGTGAAAATCAAAATTAAAAATCGTAAATGCAAGTAATGGGTGGTTCGGAGGGAAAATACTAACGAGAATAAACACAAGCCTAACGCTAACTGGTGTAAATCTAGTAATAATTACTAGTAGTATTAATAACAAATAGCAATTAATTATATAATTTAACAATTAAACTTAACAGCACATATATAACTTTAAGTTTAAAAACTTTAATGTTAAAATAATTTTTATTTGCCATACAGTTCAAGGTGTAAAGTGTAAGCTCTACTACAAACGGAGAAATAATTTTAATAAAAAATAAGCTTTATCTACGTTTAAGCTTATACTTTAATATGCATATTATTCCTTTATAAATTTACAACCCTTTTTGTTGTATGTAAGTTTTATAACTTGTAACGAGAACAGAGAAGACCACTCAAAAAAGTTACGAGTAGCTAATGTTAGTAGTAATATTAATAATAATAAATAATACTACACAAGCAACGTACTTTTTTGTTTCTATAATAATATAAAATCTAGTCTTGATTATGCTTTATAAAATTAAAATATCCTGGCTTTATAACCACCTACGTAATATTTATACACATATGCAGCTATATAATAAAAATGAATATGTTTACCTTGTTAGTTTTCACTTTGTTTAACTTTAAATCAATCTCCAATCGTTAGTTCAGTGTACGAAAAAACACTAAATGTAATAATATAGTATAGGCCTAGTTAGACACTAGTGGTACCGAGATATCTTCCGTTAAAAAAAAACTGACATCGTAGTGCATGGGAAGCTTTGATAAAAATCATATTTAACAGAGTTTTCATTATGTATAATAACATGTATTTCATTAACTTTGTGATGTTCTGAATAAATAGACATTTGCTTGTATTTTTTTATTTGTGGTAATGTACATAACTTTGTTTTTCTTCCTTGGTTATTCAAACGTTTTATTACATGTTTATTAATATCCGATCAGAGCTAGCTACTTACTTTGAGCCAAACTAAAAATCAACATGGTGATAAATAAATCTAATTAACTATACGTCTTTTACGTCTTCGCTTAGATTGAAATGAATTGTTTCATCAGTTTGGTACCCTCACAGTTAACGATATTTACAATCCGTACGCCAGGCTTTATTTTGCATAATGTTTCTTAATTTTATTATTCTTAAGTATACACATGTGCATGTTATTCTACAAGCTTGTCTTCTAACGCAGATCTACACAGTGGACTATGTGCGCTGGGTCAACCGAGAAATTTTAGTTATTATAATTAATTATGAATTACAAGTCGAGCCAATAACTATTATAAAAACTACATATCTAACTGTTTCGTGTTATATCACGGTGGGACATTGTGTACAGTCACCTATTAATATACCCACAGATAGTTCCTACATCAAATACAGTGAGAGAGCTGGTTGTACATTCATCGTCTCATGGAACAAGGTGTTGGAGCATTTAAAATTTCCACAAGGATGGAGCTGGAAACCATAACACAAGCTTTTGAAAAGCAATTAACCGTATATAGACAGTACCACCAAAATAATACTTGGGACTACTCACAGCAGTACCGCATAAAATTCAAAATTGTTCCCCAGATATATGGCACAAAGTAAAGAAACATCATGGTAAAATCCTCGCCTGGTTATATGTGTTAGGCCATGTCCAAGTAAAATTAAATGAAGAACCTGACAGTTCACAAGAGAAGCCACTTTATTAAATCCAGCACGACTCTTCTGGTAGGATATTAACCTTCTACGCATTTGTAAGTTGAAAGCAGTAATCATGGAAGGCTTTCATCGACATCCAGAGGAAATAATACTACTAGAAAACAAAGTACTGTTATGACAGCGGAAGTCAAGTGACGCTGGTAACACGTAATGAGTATCTAGAACGTTCGTAAAAGCTCGAGTGTTTTCCAGACGCCCTCTATTTCGTATATATAAGACCGGCGGGAAGTGACGGCATAGATATTGTTACGTCTCCGTTTGTTAATTGATTTTCCGTAACTTCGTTCCGACGAAACTTAAGCGACACAAGTTCTTTCTTAATAAAACTGGTTTATTCTTTCCGAATATAACTTTACCGATACACTTAACTTCAACAATCGCGCTAAAACAAACGCTAGTCAACAATACTTCTGACTGCAGTTCAATTACTCACTATCTATACACACATTACCTTACCTTCCCGCGTCACGTTTTCCCCTCTTATATATACCAGCCTACCCTACTAGTAAATACTAGAGCATTCGCCAAAGTACATGATGGTTCTAGAAACGTTGCGTCACTGTAGTCATGTGACTCGCTGACGCAACAATATAGATAATTGCAGACACTCAGAGATAGAGACGACAATTGAGTCAAGCGCGGTAGTAAGTAAAGCACGTGAATCGTTCGTTGTGAATTATAGCGTGTGTTTAAGTTAAAGTGACTGTGGAAATTAAGTGTATTGCAAAGTTGTATTGAAAAAGAATAAACTAGTTTTATTTAAGAAAGGACTTGTATCGCTGAAGTTTTTCCGAAAGACTTTCTACGGAAAATTAACCAACGACCAGAGACGTAACAGTACTATACAGGTATGGTTGGAAAAAGCAAAATATTGGGAATCAATATGACAATATACAGTCAAAACGCCATTGGTGGCATCAGTAAAAAACTCTCTTCTCCCTCCTGCAACAAAATCAGTCTCAACATAAGGGGTTAACACATCTAGGCACAGCCTCCGGAATTATTAACCAGCACTCAACACAACTATTAAGGTGGAATTCGATGACGAGGAACCCACTTTGAGACTAATAATGGTTGGAGACGGCTTGAATGGGTAATGAAGAAAAACTTTAATGTAAGTTTAACATAACAGCAAATGTACAACGTTTTGACAAGATTTTGTCATCATCAGGTACCATTTGTCAGGGTCACTGATGAGGAGTGGAATTCTCCAAAACTAGTCTGGTTCACAGACACACACCTCAATGAAAGAATAGACCATTCCAAGCTTTTACTTGTTGTTA